TCCTAGGACCTTGAACTATTTCTCACTTATGATAAATAAAACTCATTATATTTACATTTCTTAGCTATTGATTGATGTCCAGCCAGTAAGTCATCCATTCTAGAAATAGTCACTTTATTCTAATATCAAGTTAAACTTTAAAGATGTTGATCTCTATCTTAGCACAGCCATACATACATAAGCAGTGTACTCAGGAGTACAGTAGCAAAGAACCACATTTGATATACTTAGTAAAAATGACCTTTCCATATTATGGTTAGGCAGTCTGCGTAGATGCTGAGAGGTCTTTGATCACGGTGATATAAACCTGCTTGTTACTTATGGTCAGATTAGCAACCTTTTAGTCTTGAACAAGCAAACTAACATTCTAAATCTTAGTCTTCTTACATGGGAAGGAAAAAAGAAGGAAGAGGATTTGGAGCTCCCCATGGAGAAGCTACTAGGTAATTCATGCAAGGAATTCATCCATGTAGCTAAGTATAGAAACATAACTATACATGAAGTGTAGCAATGACAAGAAGCAAAATAAGCATACAAGAAGCAATACAACTTTTCAATAAAGCAAGGAAGTCAGCCAATAGTAGATTCAGAAATTGGAAGCAGGAGATACATACTTTAAAATGGCTTCATTGCATTGATCAGTCACTGTGCAGTAAAACAAAAACTTATCTGGGGGGATGGTCTTCAAGAGCTGAATAGAGACAGTTATTTAAAGAGGTGTGTGAGAAATGAGCAAACAAAATAGGACCTCAGGAAGGAGGATGCCCAGAGAAGGGGTTGACTGTTCATCGGAGACACTGGATGCTAGAGACAATGAAATTACCTCTACATAGCAATCAGAACAAGTAACTGTGAATTTAGAATTTTGTCATCACTGAAAATGTCCTTGAGAAGAGGAAAACATTTTCAGACAAACAAAAGCATTAGGTCTGTATCAGCAGAAGGCATGCCCCAGAGGCAAAGCACACAAGGTCTTCAGATGATAGAAGGAAAATGATCTGGAACAATAGATTGTGTGGTAGCTAACACTGGTTGTCAACTTGGCATATATGGGAAGAGAGAACTTCAGTTGAGAAATTGCCTTTCTTGTAGGCATGTCTATGGGGCATTTTCTTGATTGCTAACAGATGTAAGAAGACCTAGCCTACTATTGGTGGAACTAGTAAGGGATTAGGCTGGTAGGTCTGGGCAGGAGCCAGAGGGAGAATCAATGTTCTGTGGGTTTCTTCTTCAAGCTCCTGCAGGGAAAGGTTGCTAAAATAAAAATTTTATATGCAAAGTAATATTAATAATAATAATGTATTGAGATGTTTAGAAAACTACACATTCATGAAAATAATACCATATATAGAAAAGTTGCTAATGATTTGTATACTAAGGCATGTGCACCAACAGGTTACAGTGTAAATATTCCAACTCCTTCCTCTTCTTTTTACAGGACTTCTTCCCTAGTGGGGGTTTTGTGCCCTGACTCCATACCACAGTGTATTTCCTGAACACACTAAAGCTATGATGAGTCTGCTCTGTCTAGAGGTTAATGCCCTTGTTTTTCCAGTGCACAGTTGGGCCACACTCTCACAGACACTTAATGCCATTGGTCTTAGTAATTTGGTATCTTTGACGGGTAGGAGTAATGTGTCATTGAGATTATTCTGTGAATTTCCCTGTTATTAATGCTATTCAGTATCTGTTTATGTGTTCTTTTCTGCTATTGTGATGTTTCTGTTCATATCTTTCTCCATTGTATTTTTAAGGGTTTGTGTGCTATGGTTTTGTATTCTTTAAATTATTATTCATGGGATTTCTTTAGGTGGGAAATCATCAGAGAGCATGAACTTTTTTTTTTTTTTTTTGCTACAGGCCTCATCCCAGTTACTGAAGATGGAGGGCTAACTTGGAGAGTTTGTGGTGAAGCAGGGTATTCCAAGTCCATTCTGAGGCTGAATTGAGTATGAATTTATGGCAGGAATCTCTTGAGGATTGGTTTATCTGATTTATTTAAAATTTCATAAAATGTCCAAGTTAAAGGTATGCCAGACAACTATTCCAACTATTCCTGATGCTTTCCCCTGAGAATAATTTTATTTTCCTAAATTGAAGCAAAGGAGCAGGTCATCCCTCAAGATCCTGTCTGAGGACTGGGTAGTGGTAGCACATGCCTTTAATCCCAGTACTCAAGAGGCAGAGGTAGGCAGATCTCTACAGATTCGAGGCCAGCATGGTCTACAGAGTGAGTTCTAGAATAGCCATAGAGAAATCCTGTCAAAAAATATCCAGTCTGAAGAATCTGCAGCTCAGTCCTGCTCTCTGATGGATTCAGACTTTGTGTCTTTTCCACCTGGGTGAGGTGGTTATAGCTGACCTTGGCTATTAGAGGTTGGGAGGGAAACTGCAGTGAAATTACCAGCTCTATGACTCATAAGCTACAAGACACTGCTTTCTTGTATTTTGTGGGTGGTGATATGTTGGTAAATGTTTAACATCAGAACTTCTGAAAGAAAGGAGGAAAGAAGACAGAAAAAGCACAGGCTGAAAATGAGATCTGTGGTGTTTACTAGTTTCCTCTGTGGAAACAGTCACACCATGGCTAATGTCAAACCACCAGGAGGGGAGAAGTATGCACCATCACATCAGCACACTGGACTTTTACCATGCGAGGAAAATACATGGAAGTAACTTTAAGAGCCCAAGTGGTATGGTCATTGATAAAACAATCAGAAAATAAATGTAAGTCTTTAGTATTTATTATTTTCATTGTATATATAATTCATTCAATTGTAATTTTATGTAATTTATTAGTGGCAGAGTTTAAAAACTGGCTTTCAGTTTCTAAACATTTCAAAGACAGCTTTCTGTAAATATGCAATCTAATTCACTCACAACTGAGTATGGTGAGGGAGACCACCCCAAACAGTAGGAGCTTCCTCCGGGACCCTAGACTAGGCACAGATCACACCCAAACACCAGTTTTCACAGATCTTTCTTTTAGTAAGTAGGGAAGAAAAGTTAAAGTGGCTGCTTTTGACTCAGGCAGACAAACAGCAGCAAATGACCTTGTAGGTATAATTTTTAAGAAGAGGAAAAGGGGACGTCTGTGTTAGAATGGACTAGGACATGGTGGTTTATTTGGATTGGGCATGTTGGTTAGGTGAGAGAAAGGGGGCTTTGGATTGCTGGGCTTCAATACTTTGATAGTCAGTCGCAGGGGGAAGAAACAGTCAAATAAAAGAATAGGCATTAGTAGGTAGCTTTAGGAATGTAATCTAATGTTTTTTAGTGAGGCAGAGGGAACGGGGGATAAAGGCAAGGCCTGCCAGAGCCACAATGTTCGGGGGGGGGGGGTCAGAATCCCTTCAATGGGAACTTCTTACTGCTTAACTCCATGGACGTTTTCATGTGTGACATGTGGCCATATTGTCTCTTGAATACCAAGGGCACATGATGTATTGCACAGAGGTTTCTACCAGAAAAATAACAGAGCCCGGACTTGGACCCAGACAATCCAGAATCCGGGCCCCATGCTTTTTAACTCATTGTTGTCTTTTACCAACAAATGTCGGCTTGTATGTTGAGAAATGCAACAGAAGGGGTCCACTGAGCCAGGTTCAAGCACAGAGAGGACCTAGCTCCACAAGTAAGGAGCTGCTTACAAACCGAAACCAGTCTTGAGAGATCATCGGACATACCCATGCAAGGGCACTAAGCAAATCAACCTCTCTGAGGAGAAGACATGAATGGGAAGGAGGAGGGGAAGTGAACGTAGGAGGAGCTAGTAGAGATGAACGTGATCAAAATACATTGCATGAATTTCTCTAAGGATTAACAGAAATATTTTTAAATGGTGTGTTAATGAAGGACAAAGGAAGCTTTCCAGTTTAAGGGAGGATAAAGAGATGTGACATCGGGATGTAGCACATGGTTTGCTGTTCTTGTTTGCTATGCAAGGCAATATCGGGACTATTGGGAAAAATCAGGATAAGAAGGACACACTAGATAACATTATTGCATGGTGCTTGTTTCATGGTCTGGATAATTACACAAGAGAGGTCTTTGCCTATAGGAAACAAACCCTAAACTGCGAAAAAGTTATGAGATGACTTGCACTTACATTCAGAATATATATATATATGTATTCACCTGCATATGTATTCATAAGATGGGTTGAAAGTATGAGAGAAAGAAAGTAGTAGTAAACGCTAGATTTGAGCAACTGAGGGTGAAAGGTATCATGTTCTGTAAGCCCATCTGAATAAACAATGAAAACAAATAATCAGAAAAGGACCAGTGGGACCCAGTTCCAGTGTTCCGTCTTGAGTGTGCCTTAGCTTCTGAATGTTGATTCTCTGTCTGTGTGTCCCTTTTCAGCTTCTCTCCCAGCCCTTCTTACTCTCTCTGCATTTCTAGACCTTTCCAGTCTGGGAAGGCTTCAGCTTGGCCTAGTTAACAGCTGCAAACGTTGCTGCCTGGCAGGCTTCTAGCCTAGCTGCCTTGCAGTTTTGTCAGGCACAGCTCCAACCTCGGCTGCCCGTGGAGGAGAAGTACACGCAGAGCCGTTTTCCTTACCAGAGGCTACAGGCAGACAGGTAGCAGTGACTGACAGGTCGGATGCATATAGAAAACGATAGGCCTGCAGTGGGGAAAGGGGGCAGTCTTGCAGTGTTAAGGGTTGGCTCAGACGCTGGACTGACTTAGAGTATTGGCTCCTTTCAGAGCAACAAGTGATGGATGTCCTGATACTCCACAGGATGCTAACATTAAACTCCTAAATGGCAGTACACGAGACAGGGAGGAAACAGTTTTATTATGCCACCAAGTGTCTCCTTTTTGTCTGTTTGGTTTTTTTTTGCTTTCTTTTGTTATTGTTTGTTTGTTAGTTTATTTTACAGCAAACTTTCAGGTATATTTTTTTTAATTTTGTGTTGTTGGTTATTTTTGCTTGTGTGTGTCCTGTGTATCATGCATGTGCTTTGTGTGTGTGAATTCTGTGTGTCATGTATGTGCGGTGCCTGTGTGTGTGGCCATTTTGCCTACATGTATTGTGTGTATCATGTTTGCGCTATGCCTGTGAAGGCCAGAAGAGGGTCAGATATCAGAACTGGAGTTACAGACTGTTGTTAGGTGTCACACAGGTACTGCCGATGGACCACGCCCTGCGGAAGAGCAGCCAATGCTTTTAACCACGGAGCCATCTTTTCAGTCCAACAAAGTGACTGCTTTGGAAGACAGTGTCTTAAGCCAGGTACAGAAGCACATGCCTTTAATTCCAGCACTCCGGAGGCAGAAACAGGTGGATCCCCAGATTTGAGGCCAGCCTCATCTGTCTTTATATAATATACTAACTCTACAGACATTCCCCAGTTAACTTTCACTTAATGAATTTTATGTCATTTTGCTTTTGACCTCAGTGGGTAGCCTGTGTTTAGAATAATGAATTCAAAGGTCAAAGACTTAATATTGGTCTGTTTCATTTAAAAGTTGTCATTGTTGTTAATATTATTATTGAGATGGGCTCTCACTATGTAGACCAGGCTGGCCTCAAATTATAAGCCATCCTCCTGCCTCATCCTCCCAAGTAGTGGGATTACAATTTTGCTTCAGTTAGCTCAGGTTGATTTATTGTTCATTGTGTTCTTAAGACACAGTTTAAAAGAAACAAGAAAGTCAATTTTCCTATCCTTAAAGCAAAAGTATGCGATGATACCAACAGCTTTCATAATTTTTCTCAATAGCTTTTCTCTAAAGAAAAGAGGTTTTTGGTTATTTAGGTCATTGAGTCAGAAAGCAAACCATTTGTCTTTGATCGCGCCCTTGCCAGAAGATCCCTAACTCATTAGCGTGCTATTAATGAGGCTGGATTTTAAAGCAGGTGTTGTTAAGTGCAATCAGAGCAGCTTTATTAAGCTGCAAATTGTCTTGAGATGACAAAGGAAGTCAGATTGGTCCATGCACAGTTAACCTTTGTCTATATGCATGGCTTGGCTGATTAAACAGCAATTGATAATGACCTTCAGCCTGGCAAAGCCGGAAATGGTGAAGCCTGATGTTGGTATTCATTGTATGTGATGTGAGTGACAGGCAGGCAGTCTCTTTAATTTAGAAATCTATAATGCAATTTCAAAATTAACTAATATTGCAGTGCAATGAACCACTAATTTATGTGTATTAAGCTGATATTTTGATGTGCATGTTATTTTAGATGAGAATATTATTGCTGGGAATTAACCTCGACTTGGAGTTCTGTTGACTGACCATCTTTAGAAACTAGAGAAAGAGGATTGTGGAAGACAAAGAAACGAGACCCATTTCTTCGTTTCATAAACAGACTAACCACCTGACACTTCGAAGAGTGGCCTGGTGAGTCCAACACAGGCCCTGATTGTGAAGAGGCCTCAGTGGGCTGATAGACAAAAACACTGATTTTACTACAATTTATTCAGGGCAACAGTGATTTATCATTATCTCTCAAGAAACATCAGGACCTTCACTAAATCCAAAAACGTAGAGGGAGATACAACGAGTGATGGGACCGTTGGATTTATACACTGTGTGTGACATGCTAGATTCCTTGCTCATGTTTCTTCATGGACTCTCAATAACAATTCTTAGATTAAAAGGACAACACTTTACAAAGAGGATGACAAAATTCTGAGTCAGGATGATTTGCCTGAACTCAGCTAAGCAGTGTGGACCAGAAATCACAGTTTCCTTCTAAAATCTACATTATCCAAAAACACTGAGCAGAAACACACTAAATAGGATGAGTACATGTGTGTGGGGGGTGGGGTATGCGTGCATGTGCTCTCTCCCCATGTCAAATGCTTTCTAGTTTAGGAAACAGAATAGTGGTTACAGTACTAGGAAATGAACTTTGAGTAATGGCTTCTGCCTCATGGAATGACACATTTCTTTGCAAGTTCATCTTCATGAACAGACATTAAACAGCTTGGCCATTTATCACACTATCCTCCCTCTGCATTTCAAGCATTTACAAGGTCCTCTGCTAAAATAGATGTATTAGAGGTAATTATAACTTGTACTTTTGTCAATGCTTCTAGTTCCTAGTTTGGGGTCAAGGACATTGTACTCTGGGATAGGGTTCTGTGCCTGATTCAAATGGGTTTGTTTAACTGGCAAACAGGGTTAGAGAGGTCTCTTTCTTACTGCAGGAGCTTTCAGAGCCTTTAGTATGCTAATGACCTGATGACTTTGTAGAGAGAATTCAGTGTTCCACATTTCCCAAGCTTTCATGACCATGAGACTCTTTGTTCTTTGAGCACCAATTAACACTCACAAGAATTAGTGTGTGCAGAACAGAGAGAGTCCCAGCTCCATATAACATTAGCAGCCAGTACCAGCCTTGGGCAGGCTAAGGAGGTGGGTAGAGGAAAGGTTAGGGATGGAGGAAACCATAGATTTACCTTTTACTCGGTTTTGCTGGGACGAGTTGTAATTATTTAGACACTAGAACAATCTTAATGAACAGGGTGATCATTAATCACATAAACATAAATGATCTTCATCTAAATCGCCTAAAGCAAACATGAATATTTACTATAAACATCAGTGGGATTTTCCTGACTCTTAAGTTTTTCTGAATGGTACTTGAATATGCTCTTTATTTCTAGATTATATAAAAGTAATTAAAAGATTAATTGGGGGTAAATGGAATGTGAGATTTTGACATAAGCCCTGCAAATTTGCTAAGAACTGACTAAAACCCATAAAGAATGGATCATCTGCGCTTTATTAGTTGCATTGTTCTGAGCAAACAGCCCTGTGATATCAGAGACATCTTTCAAAAGTACATTTTCCAAGTTATTTTCCAAGATCACAGTTTCTGCTGGGCAGTCAGGCATCAGTCTCTCTCTGTGAGCTGGGAGCCCCACCTTGGTCCTGACTAGGGTTCTCCACCGCGGGTCTCTGCCAAGAGTGGTTGCTTCTGGTTCATGTTTACGCTGCATGAAATCCGAAGGCAGAACGCTTAAAGTCCCCATCCACACTTAAAAGCCTTCAATTACAGGTTGCCTCTGCCACTCCAAATCTGTGTGCTGTGTTATACTTGTCATTGCTATGGAACATCCTGCTCTGGCCCTGCGACTATATCCATCTAAGTGTCATAGTAACCGTGGGAGCTGCCCTGCCCTGCAGTTCCCTCTTGAGGTCCCTGGAGTGTGTCCAAGTATGCTATACAATAGTAGCATTGCCTAGAAATGCCTGTGCTCCCAGAGCGAGAAAGAAGCCCTCATGACTCTCTAAGGAGTGGTAGATTTAAAAAGACATGGACTTCATTTATTTGTTTCACATCGTAACTGTTTGGTCATTCAAATGTCTTCCAGAATCCCATGGAAGATCACCTACATTGAAAAAAAAATTCTAATGTCTTTCTATCTCTAAAACTGCTCTTTGCCACCAACAGAGTCCCAAAATAGCAAGTGATAAAAATTACCATTGGCACTAATGGCAATGAGGCCACCTGTTCAGCTTGCTCACAACCTTGAGTGACTTTCACATTCAGCTGGTGATCAGCAGATAGACATGTGACCTGGTCATCAGGCCATTAGTGCAGAGCATCGATCATCAGCTTCTTCCTCCAAGGTGGTTCACTTATTCATGGAATAACAAAGTTTGAGTAGGGTTATTTTACAGATTTGGTCACCACAGATCCTAACCTGGATCGGTCCATATAGTTTCGCAGAAGGGGGATAAGAAAAGTGTACTTCGGCTGATGTTTTCAATTTTCCTGAGAAAAGAAATGTATTTACCAGATCCTAGTCATTTCGATAAATTGAATTTCTATACTGAGTCATCTGCACATCCTTTGAAAGGTAAATTGAACAGCTGTATTATCCACATCTCTGTGCTGAAAATGTGTGTGAGGAGCTACTAAGGGAACTCAGTCCCCATGGGGAAACTTCGAGCCTTCACAGTTATCTTTCAAAGGGGGAAATGGGTCCAGAAGTCTTAGAAATAACTTCCAAGAAATGTTTGTTCTAGGAGTCACATTTCTGGAATGGACTAGCTTGTGACAGAATTCACCAAATTTGTGATGATACCCATCGGGTGGATGAGAAGATGATATTCAGCAGGGCACCACTGGAACATATTTGAATTGAATAGATTATAATTCTGCTTACCTCTACTCATTCTCTTCTTCATCTGTTCCTTTGCTTTACTCCTCACTTATTTCAGTGACACCAGGAATGCTCGATACTCTGAGACTGTGGTTTGTGGAGTCTGCTTCCAGGGCAGAAGATACAAGTATCTGGGCAAAGTTGCTGGACAGGCCAGTGTTCACAGTCTACTACACGTAGCTGAATCAGCAGCTGGTGGTGGTCCCCACCACCTGTGCCTAAGATGGCTTCCACTTATCAAAGTGAGGGATGACATGTGTGGTAGCCACCTCTGCATCACCAAGCACCCAAGAGATTCAACTCAGAGTTCTATGGTTGACTGGATCTCAGAGTTCTAGAGGGATCAATCCAGGGTTTATTGGACCAAGATACTTGGGCAGAACATCACAGCAGTGGGAGCACATGGGGAGCTGCTCACTTCATAGCTTACCAGGAAGAAGGAGGAGGAGGAGGAGGAAGGACAACAAAGACACTGAGGTTGCTTTCATCTTTTTTTACCTTTTTTTTTTTTTGTCTGTTATGCCCATGGGATGGTGCAACTACCCAGGGTGAGTCTTCTACCCTTGGTTCCATTAATCTTCTCTGGAAATGCCTACACAAATCCACACTCACACTCAGATGGGCCCACATGTGCACACACACACACACACACACACACACACACACACACACATACACACACTTTTCTAATCTCTTAGATGATTGTAAATCAAATCAAGTTGACCATGAAGATGTTCCATCAGAGCTGTGATAGAACCATTCCATCATTTCATACCTTCTTACTAAAATCTCCTAAAACAGGAGACTGCAGTTCACCAGTCAGTTGTGAGAACAGAAAACCAATCATCTAACTTCTCTAGGATCTGTTTTCTACCTGCCAATTGAAGCATGTCAGTGATATGGTTTCTAAAACTACTTCCATTCTGTAATTCTGCACTAAAATTTACACATTAAAATGTAACATCTACCATAATGCTGGAAACTCAGATAGCCTGGCTTTCAGACGCTCCTCCCTTAACGGTTGTATCCTCTTCTTATGCTTAGTTCCCCCCAGTTTTAAGTTGCTGATAATAATAGTGCTTACGTTATAGAAGTTTAGAGGTGACAGAGATGCTGTGCAGGGTGTCTTCAGCAGGGCAGCCGATGTCCATGGGCTCGGTAAAGAATGCTTGCTTGCCACTCTTCGGAAGCAGAATTCTGAGAAATGACATCCAGTCTTCAAAGTTGAGTTGATAAAGGAAATATCACCGGATGCTGCTATGTAGCCGTTAGGAAAGCAAATGGATAAGTTTATTCCAGTTACTTCTAACTGAATTGGGTCATAGGAAAGCCAGTGGCACTTAACATGGTCTTTGCTTCTATGAAGATTAAAAACAGAGAGTCTACAGGCTGGGGGTACAGACTGGAAGGTAAGACTGCTTGAGGAACAGGCATGAGGACCTGAACTCAAATCCCCAGAACACACATTTAAAAAGGCAGGCAAGACCACATTGGAGCCTGTAGCCTCAGTGCTGTAGGGCTGGAGACAGGATGATCACTGAGGTGTTCTAGGTACCAGACTAGCTCTGGAGGAGTCTTTGTTAAGGGAGTAAGTAGAGGGATAGAGCAGGATGCCTGGCATTCTCCTCTAATCTCCACTGGAGGACCTGTACACAGACGTATGCATACATCCACCCCCACACATATATGCAAGATCTTCACATTGCTTTATTAAAATATAATTATCTTAAAACGTGGAAGAGATTTGGTGATACTCTGGTGGAATGGTGAGATGCTGATAGAGCATTTTCCAAAAAGTCTTCCCAGTATTATTTTTGTTTGGCCCAAGTAAAGAAAACACAATTGTTTTGGGTTGTATTTGCAAACAGTCAACAAGGAAATCGTGCGTTAATCCTGCAGATGAAAGCACGATGCTGTTCCCATTTATCTGTGTTTATCGCAGTGCCAGACGGTCTGATTGGGAAGGCACTCCGTCACAGGAGAGCCAGAAAGGCAGCGGATAAGTGGATGCTGCTTTGCTGGGAGGTGTTGGGTAGCAGACAGCATTTTGTTGACCTTGTTCCTAAACACAATGAGTCTGTGTGGAGGGCCGTGTGCAGCAGCGCCTGGGCCTCTGTTTTACTTCTTAATTTCTTTCACAGCATCAAAAGGCTTTTCTATTCCAAAGCCTTTCTTTCTCTTTTACCCCTGAGCCTCTGCAATTGAGGCACAAGCACAATCTACCAGCAGCAGCCTTTGTTCTGGCCTTTCAGGAGGCCGAGGAACAGTGTGAGTCCTTCCTAATTAGCCTGTGGACCAATGAAATAGTTCTCCAAGCCAGGAGCGGCTGTGATCCCACAGCCCAAGTGGTAGGAAAGGGGGGAAAGGCCTCTTTAATTAAGGCCCAACAAAACCGGCTAAAAAATGGTATTTTCCTCTCTACAGATGCCTTTTTTTAAAAAAATCCCTGTAAACGCTGGCATATACACAGGCTTTCAAACAGTGCCTATGCTTATGCCAATGAGCGTGAGGCTCTGTTTTGGCTTTGGATTGAAGAATTCCTGGCCTGTGAGTTTGGGAGCCCACAGCCTTCGCCTTGGCCGTGGTCTGCATTTGAACAAGCACAGCCTGTACTGGACATACAAAGCTGATAATCACTAGATGGTCTCCACTTATAGAAGCCACACACAACAGCCTACCTTATACTCCTGACATTTACATGGAACATTCTCAAGTGTTATGGCACAAAAGCCTCACCTACAGCACACACGTGTTCATTTATTGTTTCTCTCTATTGTTTACCCCACTTTTACTGCTTTTAATTGTAATGCATTAACTATTTCTTTCTCTGGTGACTTCTTTAGCCGGTCAACAGAATACATGTTCAGAAGCCAGTTTTAGACACATCTTTGTCTGTGGCCTTTCTATCGTCTGTCTTTACATGGCATAACTATGTGTCTTACTGTGAATAAGATAATCCTTTGTGATTAGCCTTGTCTCTGCATTTTCAAACTAGAATATTTTCCCTTGATTTTCAAAGTTATAAACATCTGTTACAAAATATTAGGGAGATGTATCATGCAGAAAGTCATTAAGAAAAAAATCCTACAAATTGCAATGCTTCAAGATAACAGTGTGAACACTTGTGGTGAGATCAGTCCATCTCTGTATTCCATGTAAGTTCACATAGGTGTTTCCTACTTGTCAGAGCATGTAAATACACATTAGAGTCAGTGTATATAACTACATGGTCATTTTCATTGGCTGTACACGATTAATCTTTTAAAGATTAACAAGACCCCACTGAAGACTCTTTAAATGAGCTTACAGAGAACAAGATTTCCCTATGGCACCTTCACACATACTCAGGTTTAGCTGACTCTTCTCCCCCATCTCCCTTCCTCCTCCACACCCTTTTAAATCTTTCCACCCCAAGTCATTCCCGTTCTATTTTCATATCATGTGTGTTCTATTAACTTCCCCATCTTCCCCCTCTCTTGCGGATCCATATCCCAGTAAATACACATATATGAGATTTGGAAGCCAGATCCACATATGAGAAAAAACATGTTGTTTTTGGTTTCTGAACCTTTATTACCTCACTTAATATAGTATTTCCAGTTTCATCCACTTTCTTACAAAATTTATTATTTTAGTTTTCTAAGTAAAGTTCCATTGTGTGTGTACCACATTTTCATTATCCATTCATCTATTCATGGGTGTTTGGGCTGATTCTACTTCCTGGATACCATGAACAGAGAGAGCATCAATAATGACAGATTTGTAGGTACCTCAAGAGTAGAAGAAAGAGTCCTTCAGGGATGTACCAAATATACCAAGTCAAGGGGACATCTGATCAAATTTTAGTGTTTTTATTTCTGTTGTAGCTGCATGGGTATACACCATCAGAAGTGAACTAAGGGTTTCTCTTCTTCTACAACCTCATTGGTCTTTGCTGTTATTTGTTTTCCTGATGATAACCATTCTGACAAGGGTGAGATGGAAGCTTAAAGTAGTTGTAATTTGACTTTCTCTATGATTAAAGATGCTGAACCCTTTTAAAAATATTTTTCAGCCATTTATATTTCTTCATCTCAGAACTCCATTTTGTTTCTTAGCTCTGTTTTGGGTTTGATTGTTTCTTCATTAGTTTTTCTTTTGTTTGTTTTAGTTGTATATTCTGGATATTAATCTTCTGTCCAACATGCAACTGTCAGAAAATTCTCCCATATGTTTGGTCTTCACTCAACTGATTGCTTTCTATCATGTGCAGATTTTGATTTCCTTAGTTCTCATTTCCTCATCTGGGCTACTGAAGTCCTATTCACAAAGTCACTGCTTGTGCCTCTATCTTGAAAACGTCATCCTCTTTCGGTTTCAGGGTTTTGGGGTCTTACATTAAGGTCTTTGATCCATTTGAAGTTAACTCTCACACTGGGTGAGAGACAGTGATCTGGTTTCATTCATATACATATAGATATCAGTTGTCCCAGAACCATTTGTTCAAAAATTGTCTTTTATCCAATGATTGCTTCACCTTTGTGAAAAACCAGGGTCATGGGTTTATGTCTGCATATATTCTGTTTCATTATGTACATGTCTATTTTAGTCCATTCCATATTTTTATTACTGAAGTTTTGTAGTGCAACCTAAAATCAGATATGGTGATGCTTTCGTCATTGTCATCATCAT